TGAGCCAGGGGAGTCGAGCCGGCAATGCAGCTGATGCCGAGGTCAGTAGCTTCAAAAGCGAAAACCTCCATGAAAGAGAAGATGTGGAGTAGTAGCTGAGGCCACTCCAGGGTCATTTGCCCAGCGATGGCCAGGGTCTGAAGGAAGTTGCCCGCAACCTCAAAAAGCATCACAAAGGTGAAAATGAGCATGCCGTTCACGCCCATCTGATAGTCCAACTTGAAGCCATGAGCCAGGAGAATGGCCAAACACACGCACGCGAGCACCGCGCCCCAACCGACCCTGATCCATGGCTCGCAAGGTAAGCATTCGTTTCCGTTCCACCGCTTCCGAATTGACGCATTGGTAGACGTCCAGACCTGCTGCTGCAAGACTCATGTACCCTTCTTTGATCTTCGGGATGAACTCCTCTCCCAAGTCTGATTCTCCGCTGAACAAGGAGTGCACGCTCGACAATCGAGGGCAGTCCAAGCCAGCTTGGCATGCCTCGCACTGTGCTGGGGGGGGCTGAGTCGATGTTGATAAACCCAGCATTGCATCCACACTCCTCAACTGACATCGAGCCCAGGCCAACTGTGGTCGTATCGTTCATGCAACTCTTGCAAGCTGTGGCGCCCAGCTCATCTTGATAGCTCCCAACCCCACAGCGCTTGCAAGCCTTGCTTCCGGCCATGTCCTGGTATTCTCCTAAGCCACACGACGTGCATGAGATCGCAGCCCCTGATGGTTGGCTCGTCCCTGGAGGGCACAGTGTGCACACATGAGTATAGCCACGGTTGTCGAACTGCTGCACAGATGAATGGCCGGACTCACATGCCTTGCACACCACTCCCTGCACGGATTCCCCACGCATCTGAAGGTATTCACCGTTAAACGTATCGTACAGCCCAAAACCCGGAATGCATTGTGTCTCATCTGGAATCCACGACGTCCAGTGTTGGCGATTATCCAGAAGCCACTCGCATAGTGCCTCGTCTGAAACGCCTTCAATGTACAGCCGATCAAACAGAGCTTCGAGCACTGCAGTTGACATTTCCAGGCGGGTGATGAAGTCCACAATGTTGGGTGCCAGAACTGCCAGGTCCCTTGAGATCCACTTCCCACTGAGGAATCCACTGTTAAGTGTTCGGAAATCTTCGTTTTGAAAAGCTACGTCGTCATAGGCTGGGAACAATACCGGGACGGGGCGAGCAGCGCGCAGCTCTAGGTCTGGCCGGTTTAACCAGAAGAGCACACGACGCTCGAGGACGATGGAAAAGTCAAACTCCGGGCGCGCTCTGGCTATGGCGAGGGGCATGTCGAAAGTGGCGCTTTTCTGGAGAATTTGCTGCATGTCATCGCCATGGAATGACTCGCGGGACATAGCAGGAACACATTTCGATGGATTCGCCCTGCAGCTTGGTGATAGAAACCAGTGACCATCTGGACATATTCCGGTGCCGTTTGGGTGAAGGCCGTCCAGATCTCCGGTGATGTTCACATATTTTGCCATGAACGTAGGATCTCCAAGCCAGACCTCGTCACATCGTAGGAGCTGCGATGTTGGAATGGACGTGAAATTGTCAAAATACTTGGACACATCCCACCATGATACGTTCCAGTTTGAGTAATACTGAAGCGACAGGCCTTCCTCTTGCAGCGCATGCTGCGCCACTTCCTCAGTCACGTGCAACGTGCTCATTGCCTCGTACCCTATTCCAGTCCCAACTTTTTCTGGCTTCTTCGACTTGAAGACCGTTAATGTGTCCCAATGGCGCTGGGAAATTGGTATCAGTGCGATGTGGTACTGGTTGGGACCGTCATTGCAGCCAGTTCTGCTCTGTGGTTCATCACAGCCAGCCAAGTAATACAAAGCTCTTTCCCCACCAGAGCGTGGGTTAATGTGCACATTAAAACCCAAGGCATCCTGAATCAGCATGCCGGCAAGGCGAGTGACGACTTCCGAGATCTCATTGAATCCGTGATTCATTCCCACCGGCAGCGACCCGCCCTGGGCATTTGTCAGGTTGCGCCTTTCTTCCACCGGCCGAGCTTCCGGCAAGCAAGTGCCCCGAACCCTGACAAAGAGGAGCCACAGCCCCAGCCAGAGAGGCACAATGCGAGCATTGCAAAGGCTCGCCATATAAACCCTAAACCCCAAACGTTCAAATCTTACTTGCTGACCTCCGCTGGCAATGACGCTGAACCCATTCGGCAACTTGGGCTTACTGCTCACATGTACTTCGAACCTAGTGGAGCCCGTCCACACCTTTGAAACAATCACCTGAACTTTCTGCGATGGGTGCCTTGTCAACATCTTCAAAAGCAGGCATTCTTTTTGGCTCGCATGCCGTGATCTTTGCAGATTTCTGATGTTGCCGAGTGCCTAGGACATCGGGACAAGGTGTGCCGAGAGCTATGTACAGGCTGATGCATTTTCGAAAGGTCCTTGCTATCAGAACTGCTAGATCTGTAGATGTGGAACTCATGCTCAAGGGCATCTTGTCGCTGAAAGTGAGCAAGGACCCAGCTGTGTCAGAAAAGGTATCCATTTTGTCTTGGGTCCACAACTTCGGCGATCTTCGGACAACTGCATAACTTAACTTCAGCAGCTAGCATAGGCAGCATATGATTCTCGGACGAGAAGCCCAAGCCATCAAGCGTAGAGCGTTGGCTCCGTTGATCTTTCGAATTTCAATGCGGTCAATTGGAACCAATGATCTGTTCTAGCCAACAGGCCCAACTCATCAGCAGCAGCTGGCCGCTAGCCACGCGAACCCACGGAAACCTGGGGCGGTGCAGATTTCCGGAGAGAAAAAAACAAAAATGCCGCACACCTTAATGACCCACTCAAAAAGTTCACCATCATCCTTGACTCAAGCCCGGAGAAGAGATCCGTTCATGAACTTCAAGCGGACACATCAAACAAACCCTTCAAGGCCCCCGATCAAACATGCAACATGCCACAGTCTCGACTGAAAGTGACGCTTAATATGATATTCCCCATCATGCGAGTTGTGTCCCCTTTCCTTTGGGGTATGCTACGGCATTGGATGTTCAGAATCCACTGAGTCATTGGGTCAGTACAAGCCGGCTCGGCACCTTGAGCCAGCCCGGAGCAGCAAATCCGATCTCAGGCTTTACGAGAACAAGTTCTTGTGTATGTTTTTTTTCTGAGACAGGGCTCCTCGGCATTGGGTTTACCAACTGCACTTGGGGGTCTATACGGGGGACCCCTTGAACTTGAACTACTATCTGGCCCGATACTCAAAACCTGTGCCGGAGGCCTGTAACCCACACAGCAATGCTGTAAACAGGATATACGGGGCAAAGCCAAACAGCAAGCGCTGTAAACAGGACAGGGGCAAAGCCACACAGTAAGTGCTGTAAACAGGATAGGGGCAAAGCCACACAGCAGGCGCTGTAAACGGGATATGGGCAACGCCACACAGCAATGCTGCTTGCCGAGGCTGGGTTGGGCTGGGCTGGGCTGTGTTGCGCTGAATCTGCGTTGGGTCGTTGGGTGGCACGGGGTGCAAGGACATAATCAGACAAGTTGTCGTGGCCTGTTTTATCCAAAAATCCGGGGCTCAATATCAGATCCTGAACCCTCAGGAAAACACTCATTAAGATGGCCGAACCTGCTCACACAAGAAACCACCTAAAAGCCTTCAAAATCTCTGAAACAACGGTCCTACAGACCAAGCAGCTCGAAGCAAGTCTGGTAAGAAACATCGCCTGCCATTGCTGAGCCCTGCGCGCCAGGAGACAGCGCCGGCACTCCCCATATTGGAATCTCGGGTTGTGGTGCCTGCACGCCACTACGCCCCATACGCTGTCATGTATAACAGGCAGATAAGCCTCGGCCCAGCGCAGGTTGCCAGGCTCCCCCGCGAATCTAATTCAGCTGGAGCCGCTGGAAATCAACATGCAGGGCCCCTGCGTTGTGCACCATCTGTGGGAATCCACTTCAAACTGTTTGGATTAAATTGCGTGAGAATCTGTCAAATTATTCCTCTTGCGCGATAGAGGATGCCTGTAGCACACAGCTGCACGTGGGTTTGTTCACGAACTAGAATGAAGTCATGTTCGGGGCGCCGCTTCATGCTACGATTCATGTTCGCTGCCTGGTGTGGTACTGTATCAGGTTGGTTAGTACTGAAAAATGAGTGGAAGTAGCACTGGTGCCAATGCATGCATCCAATTCAGAGTTCTAGATCTCCTCTGCATCCGAAGTTATCCGAAACCTCCGATCTAAACCCTAACTCCTTGTCCCGAACCTCCCAAACCCTCGCCCCTGAAATCCAGAGCTGAACGCACTGATCATGTATCTTCCTCTTACCCAGGACTCCCAAGTCCGATAGCCGGATGCTCTGACAACATGATATGGAAGTCGGCACTGGCAACAGCGCGGGCATAGCCAAGGCTTTTCTTCCAACGCACTTTCACCATAATCTTGCTGCAGTCCTCGCACTCACGTCCTGTCAAATCAAGATCGTAGGAAGTCGACCCACAGTCACATTGCTACGTCCGCGAGGTAACCGGCCCTAGATCGCCCCCGGCTTGAAACCTATGAGACTTTCGAAAGAAACACAAGGAGCGAAGAGGAACCTGCCTCCTCCCGGCAGGCTGCCTGCTGGACTGCAATGCGTCAGATCAGGCCACAATGGTGCAGCTCAGCTGGTGGCAGCACTTTTTGCCCTCGTGCTTACGTGTATTGGGGGTGCGGGGAGTCGAAAGCTTCCTCTCTTGTGCAAGGAAGGGAGCTCTAGCGACTCTAGTCTCTAGTGTTCAGTCCAGTCATGTGGAAGACCGAACTGAAAGGGGCAATGCGGCAAAGGGCCTGTTCCTTCTTCTTGAGCGGGACCGGCTCTTCAGGCGCAGGTCCCCGCCTTGGCCGCCTTGGCTGAAGCTTGAAAATACTTGAGCTCGACTTCGATGCTTCCCCCTTCAGCTCACAAGCCGTGCCCTCCTGCGTCTTCACTGCACAGCGTTGAGGGCAGCAATGTACATGCCGTGTACTAGAGTAGCATGCCATCGAAGTTGTCTTCGTCGAAACACCCAATGCACAGCCCCCCCATTTTTTTGGAAAAAAATCTCAGTCCCCGGCCAGCTGATCGATCTCTCTCGGCTCTGGGGGACCAAGGCCTGCCTTCTCGTCCGAGCTCCCGCCCATCTCGCGGCACGCGCCTTCGAGCCAGGGGCGTCAGAGATCTTCGTCTTGGGCGCGGCCTGAGCTCGGCCGCAATCGCATGCAAGGAACATCTTGCAGGTGCAGTTGGGTCGGGGAACGGCTCTTCCGAATCTGGCTGTTGTGCCATGGCCTCCTCCTTGCCAAGGCAACTGCGAGGCCCGTTCGCTCGGAGCGGGCTGCAAACACGCAGACTGCAGAGGCCTGTTCCATGACCAACCTCTGCCACTCAACAGTCTCCATGGCCTTGGAGATGCTGAAAAACCCGCAGAGACGCAGACCAAGGGCAGAAGGGCCGGTGCACACTTGCAACACATTTGTAAGGTCGGGACATCTTTGGCGGCGCCAAGTAAATCATGAGCACCAAGCAGTTCTTCACGGTGTCCCCCATCTTTTCGGTTGCGCTCCCCACGATCGTGATCCCGAACATCTCTTGGCCTTCCAGCGAGGCAATGTTAAAACACGTGCCAGCGTTCCGGGTGCTTCCTGCCGCAGGACCCGGACCTGGCTGGCAACGCCTCCACACTTGACAATTGACTGTTCAACAAGGGCGACTCAACACAAAGTGCCAGACGGACCTTGGCCGTGGCTCCAGGAGGAATCCTGCGTATTGCACCTGATTCTACATGAAGGTCACTGGCTGATCCGGCTGAAACTTGGAGCTAGCAGGGATGCTTGCAACGTCGCCTCGATCTCGCTGCAACTCTGGCTTGGGCCACTGATCTGGCCTTCGAGCTTGCACAGCTCGTGCTCTTAAGGACGAACTCCACTACAGTGGGGAGGCTTGCAGGAGCTTGATTCTACGAGTAGTGACGGAGTAGTACAAGTAGTGGGAGCACCCGCTATGTCCCGGCTCGGCCTTGGCCTGGGCTCACCCTTTTCGCCTGCCAAGTGCGCTCGTGCTGCCGCGCTCAAAGCACAGAGTCGGCTTCGCTGAGAAAGCCCGGCCTTCCTCAGGAGGCTCCGGAAGCCGTGCTGGGCGCCGCTGCCTTCCTGGCAGCGAAGAAATTGATTTGAAAAAAGTGTTGCGCTGATGCTCGCTGGTCCGATGGAGCAGGGCAGAGACGCTGCCTCCGTGGTCCGCACGAGCATCCAACCTGGCAATGAAAAGACCCTCAGCAGAACTTCTAAAGCGCCCGCTGCCCATCGCAGCCTCGGCTCCTCGTGCACAGGTGCGTAGTCACCTGCTGCGGGCACGCCAACAATCTCAAAAACAACACATCACCGCAGCTCGGTGTTCGTCACCGCAAGCCTGGAGGGTTGCCTGGGCCGGGGCTCGGAGCATCGGATTCCCTCCTTCGCCGCCGACGGCGACTGTGGCCCGCAGGGCCCGGACCTGTGTCATCACACTTTGCTGTGCTCTCATTCTGCGCGCAGAGCGCCTGGACCCTCCTCGCCATTCGTCGGCAGGACATCGGACCTGGCACTCTCGCATTGCGGCACGTCGGCTTCGGGGCTGGAGCTGGAGCACTCGCGCCGCTCTCCGGCCTCGCTTCTTTCAAGATGCCGTTCTCTTCCGCTTGCCCTTGCAACAGAAAGCCGTGACACCCGGAATTTTACAGAAGAGGGCAACACGTCCAGGATGTTGCAGTGTCGCTGACAACGACTCATTGTGCCCTGTGCTGCCCTGCCCACTGAACACCTGCATCTGCATGGTTGTGCTTCCGACGCCGTCGACGCCCTTTCTCCTCATACATTCGACAGGACCACTTCTGCCGAACAGCGGGTGGGCAAAGGCACCTTCGGCCGCTTTTCTCGCACTGGGTGGGCTGGCTCAAGCCTTGCAGCAGTGGCAGCAGCATGCTTTCCAGCGAGGGCATTGGAGCCAGTCAGTCGGTCAGGTCTGGGCGGCTTCTCCACCACCTGCCAATGTTTCGGACAGGTGGGATCTCACCAAAAGCTCATCCGTCCGAACAGGAAATCCTTGGAGTTTCTATTCATAAACCCTCCAGCACTCAGCAGCTATCACATGGTGTGGGTAACATCGTGCAAAGGCCCAGGTCTAGGGCCTAGGGTGTGTGGGTGCGTTTGTGCATGTGTGTGAGGGTGGGTGTGGGTGGGTGGGTGTGTGTCATGTTCGGCAGGTTTGTGACTTTCATCATCTGCCTCTCGGCAATAACTCGCTGCAGTGGCCAAGGAAGCTGCCAAGAGTTCAGACCATTCGGCCACTCGCGTCAAGAACCAAAACAACGACAAATGAGTCCTTGCGCAGATGTCGATGCTCGCCGACAAAGCGTTTGACGAGGACATGTCTGACGACCGAAATCAAACCCACAACAGCACAAGTGCGAGTAAAGCCAAGGTCTTGAGCATGCCTGAAACTACCGAAAACTGCTTCCAGAAGCGCACGGCTTTTCGGTCAATGCATTGCGCTGCTTCTGCCACTGGTCTGTGTGCGTAGAGGCAGTAGCTAGAGCTGCAATGCCCGTACTATCTTGTACTCAGGAAGACAAGATCCGTCCTGAGGTCTTCTGCTGGAGCTTGGAAGAAAGCTCGCACAGTATCTTGAGAAAATTACGGTAACTATGCGCTGTACATGACTGTACCCAAGCCTGTGGGCGAAGGCTGCATTTCTGCCTTACACATCACGCGGCTCATTCCTGTACCTCACTTAATCACGTTCTCCTGCGCGTCCCTGAGCCATGGCGCTGAGTTTATGCGCAGCTAAAGAGGGAAGGAAGGGGATGCACCGTGACTTGATGTGACTTGTGGCTCCCTAGAAGGAAGTTGGAAATCCATCTCGCAGCATCGGATTCGTCGCCGTGCCGAAGCACGAACTCTGACGTGCCTTTGGCGCGAACTCCGACGCCGGGGCTTGAACAGCCACTGAAAAAGACCGCTTCGCCTCGGCTCCCCTACAACTCTAGGTACTGCATCCAGGGGTGAGCATTGCTGCTCGCGATATGCTGCGATGGTCTCCATGATTCATCAATAGTGGCCGCGTTGCGTATGCTGATTGCCGGGCTTCTCCACATCTGCGTGGTCCTGGTGCTGGGGCACTCTGCTTCTCCAACTCTGCAGCGGTCCCTCCAGCCATCCGCTGCCAAGGAGCAGCGAGTTCTGGCCGTGGGAAGAGTCCAGGGGCCAGGTACTCGCCGAGATCGTATACCAAGACCTCGTCACACAGTCAGAGATGGTCCACCCATGTCCGCAACTGCCCCGTTGCTTTCACACAGCCAAGAGCAGGCAGGAGACCCCCACCCACTCCGCGCGCGAACGCGCCCTGATAGTCCGAAGCTCTCTCTCTCTCTCTCTCTCGCCTGGTCATCCGTAAGCAGCGGCAAAGAGGAGATCAACCCTGCGGTCAGCGCTTCTCGCAGCAAAGGCAAAGCCTGACAAGCAATGATGCAAACGTACGGCATGCCTGGAGGTTGGGTCATGCTCTAGCGCCGTGTCTTGTTGCAGCCATGACAGCAGACACGGCGCCACCGAGAATGTTCTCGGGCGTGATGGAGAAGGCCACAGTCGGCTCGGAAACGAAAGTCAAGGCCACCAGACCCACGTACGGGTATCCCTGCAAAGGGCTAACAGAGTCGAGATCACACCTTGACACACTTTCCACATCAAAGGCCTGTGGAGCCGCCTCCATTGCAACGGCGATAGGCACCGGCCCGAAGACAAAATCCTCAAGAAGCCGCAATACAGCAGAGTAGCAGGCCGTGAGTAATTAGGCTGGGCTGCCTGGTCAACGTTTCAGCGTTTAAATGCCCCCGCCATTGTCGCGCTCGTGGTCGCACCACCAGTGCGAGTGCAACCAGCATGGCATGCAAAATGCATCACGCACATCTGCAAATGCGGCACGCGTGTAGTTTTGGTGACTTTGGTGTGGCTTTGGCACACTGGGCACTGCTCCTGGTATGTATATAGGGGTACAAAGCACGGGTACCACACACCCAGGTACTCGATTTCCTGAGGGTCCCACCCCAAGGCGCACCCGTAGCTGAGGGAAAAGTGGGAGCGAGCCAACGCCAGATCTTGCACTGGCTTTCACCAACACCTGAGAAGGACACAAGGGCCTGTTTTCACTGCAACCTTCGCGCCATGGCCTCAAACTCCTGATCCGCAACCCAAAGAAGATCCGCCTACCAGAGACGCGCTGGCAGCAAGTTGAAAGCGAGAGCGGCAGGCAGTGCCTCCATCATCACCACTTGCCTGGGACTGGAGCCCAGCCCTGCATCCCCGCCCGGTCCCTTCCTTTTATTTTGAAGCACTCCATATTTAAAGGCAGTTGTGAATAGAGGTGATGGATAGAGGCTTTCTCGGCTTAGCCGGGCGTCGGCCTGAGACTTCCCTTCGGGCGCCCGTCGCGCGCCGCGGTCATCGCCTTGCCAAGCGCCTGCTCTGCGCTTTCCCTGGGCATGCGGACGGCGTCCAGCACGGGTGGATTCAGGCCGAAGGTGACCTCGGCTGCTTTGCGTGGCGGAAGATCACAATCCTCATTCAGGAGATGGCCCCTGATGGGCATCTAACGACATCCTGCAACGCTGCCTTCTGCCGCGGTGCATTTTCAAAGGCAATGCTAAGCGCATCCCCCTCCCCAGGAGTCATCTGGAATGTGAACATTGCTGCCAGCTCAGCGCCCAATCCGCTAACTGCCTGCTTCACTGGTGTCCACACAGCTCCAACGACCATGTTCAGCCAGTGTATGCTTTCCTCTTCGTCGCTGACAGCGCTGTAGACCCCCAAACCTTGCTCGACAATTCGCGCTCGTCGCTGCTGTTCCTGATCCAAGCTCAGCACGACGGTCAGAATCATCGCAAGGCCAGCGCAATGCAGCCACACACCCGGGCGACATCGGCGACACCTCACACGTCGAAGCAGCCTGCGCAGCCTGGCACTCCGAGATCTCGCCTGCGATTCTTCGCTCACTTGTCGGCTGGCATCGCCATTCTCTGGTATCAGCTGCTCCAAGTGGAGATGCTCTGCATATGAGGACCTCTAATCAGGCGAGGCGCTCACGACGCAAGATGCGAAACTACCCAGCGGCCCTGACGAATTCTTTGCAAAGTTCAAAAGCTGAGGCCCAAGCCCTGACCTGACACCGTTTGGAGCTCGACTTGAGCGGCCAAGTATCCACGCAACCATTAGAGCCAGAGTCAATGGCGGAGCCAGAGCAACCGTCCTCTCACTTGGACTACCAAAGGCATCGCGCAGCAGCCGTCGGGCAAACTGCTCCGCAACTCGACGTTGCCTGTGCATGTGCTGGGCACTCACTCAACCTAGCTTGCGTGGGGGTCCTGCACATCTGCCTAGGCCGCGTGACGAGGTAGCTGCTGGCCGAAGGGGAGTTCACCCTGGGCGGCATAGACGGGTGATAGAACCAACAACCAAGTCAGGCTGCTTCCGTTCAAGCGAAAGCGAATGCTTCGCAAAAGCCGACAAACTCAAACTGCCCGACCAATCCCTGTGCCACCTGAGCACTGGGTACCCTGAGATCCCGGCTTATCCTCCGTGTCCAGCTTGGGCAAAGGCTGCCGGCTTTGACCCCGCAAGGCAGCTCCCAGGCTTCGCGTCGGCTCGCTGAGGACCTTGAAGGAGGAGTACACACACGCACACAAACAGACAGAGAAGCAGACATGAATGCAAATGGGGAGTGTTGAAATGCAGCGAGATGACTCAAAGACACAGAGACAGAAACACAGAGAGTTTCTCGTGTGTGTGGGTGTGTGCGCGCGAGCACCAAAAGATATGTCTGCACAGCAGTCTGCATCCTAGCGATCAGGAACGGTTTCGAAACGATCCCTCATCCTATCGTGTTCAAAACAGAAGCTGCAGTAAATAAACGTATGCTTTTGTCCCATCCAGTCTCTTCGGGGACACGTATGTGTCAGCTACACTTATGGCTATATTCATTCAAGCTCGGAGTAAGTGAAAGCGGCAACTGGTGCTGTTAAGGCCGTGTTCCTAAAGCCAATGAAAGGGGTTGGGCCGTATTCGGATCTGGGAAGTAGTGTTCACAGCAGTAATGAAGAAACAGCATCGACGGCACAGAGATTGTAACATAGTCCTGCGCGCTTGAGAATTTGGTTCTTACAAGACAGAATTTCAACTACCCAAGGTTTACAAACGCGAGAAAACACAGCGGCAGCATTCTCCAATCCGGAGTGCGCCCAGAGGTGCAATCAAACAGCTCTGGCAAGCTTGTACAACAAATTCGCATATACAGCACAAGGCAGGGCTCTCCTGTCCAATTCTAGCCCAGGGTTGCATGGTAAGTTTTCTCAGTCTGTTCATCACTCCGCGACGCTAGGCAAGCACTTGAGGAACAACTCGCTCCCGCAAGCTCATGGCGATTGCCACGGATCAAAGCAGTTAGGGGTATGTTATGCGGTATAAAACATATTATGCCTTCTATGTTACATATTGTATAATTGTATATTATAACAGTATATTTCGTATATAAGTAAAATATTACCATATATAGATAGATAGATAGATAGATAGATAGATATACATACATACATACATACATACATACACATACGTATACGTATACGTATATACCGAGGTGTGTATGTATGTGTACATATACATATATATACACAGATATGTATATACTAGGGAATTTCATGAGGGCCACCCAGGCCCGGCCTTCACGCTGTCCTCAGCAACCTTTGATGCCTCACACGCGGCACGTGGACTTTCACAGCCAGTGAACAGTTTCAGCACTCACACTCGGACATGCCTAGGCGAGGGTGACAGGTTCGAGTCACAACGGCTCATTGGCCACATGACAGCCAATGAGCAGTTTAGGGTTTAGGGTTTAAGGTTCCTTATAAGGACTTAGCTGGAGCTGAGTGCTGTGTGGCACAACAGATGACCATGCAAGCCTTTTGTCAAACACACGGCCCCCAGACATCCTCCTCGGGTAGACTGAACTCAAATCCCGGCCCCCTAAAGGAGACCTCCAAAATTCAGAAACCCGAACATTTTCGAGCCGGAATAATTAAAGCGCCAGAGCACCTTTCAGAACAGAAACTGGGGGGTCTCACGGTTTAGGAGTTAATTGGTCGGTTTCATCAAGTTAAGGGCTGTTGGCTCCGGTCAAGGGTTCAAGGTTGCTTGCCCCTTAGCCGCCTCAGCTGTGATGCCCTCGACAGTGCCACCGAGGCCGATGGTTGCGTTGCCAGCTCCAGTGAGCACGGCTCCTGCTATTCTGTAGACGCCAGCCTCAGGAAGAGTGGCCGCATGCAAGCAGCTAGCCACCAGGTGAACCAGAACCACTTTTGCCCATGTGTTTGTTTTTCATGGCCGTCTGTCTGCGACGGGGCTGCCCAGGTGCCAACAGCAACCTGCAAAGTTCCGACTGAAAACGTCTGCCCCGAGTTCACCAAGGAGCGAAAACTCGTGACGGCGCGGCGAGAGGGCCATGCTTGATCACTTGCGTCTCTCCAAACCTGCGGCGGGGAGGGAACTCGGAGACGCTACAGAGCGGCTCAGGTAGCTAGGCTTGTTTCTATTATGTTGGGCGAATGCATCAAGAGCCCCCCGAGGTCTGAGAGCAAATGCGTAACATATGTAATTATGTACGTTGCGTACATTAGTAAGACAATTCCGCGAAGCACGTGTATCAGGCACGTGCACGTACGTCCGTGTGTGTGTGTGTGATGTATGTATGCCTGCATGTATGCTCGTACCTGCAACGCCGAGACTGTCTTTCGGCGTGGATCCGCCGGGGGCACAAACAGAAAGCAAGAACGGCCATGGGCCATGGCCACTTCACTTTAATTGCCCAGAGCGCCATGTACACCAGCCTGCCTCCAGCGGTCTGGCATGGCTCACGAGCCAGGGCGTAGTGTGGCTTAGCAGTGTACGATCTGGTAGGCGCAGAGCCAACACAGCAAACAAAAGCTCAGGAACAAAAGAGACAAAGTAAAGACCCGAGCAAAGCACCCAGTACGCAGGAGTCCGACCCACACCCAGGACACAGAGTGCCAACGAATGAGAGTAAGGTCTGTCCATGAAGGATGCATGTAAGTACATACTTGTGGCACCGATGTTGTTTGTCGTAATTGCTGACGAGGGGCGTCTGAACAGCCTGCCCGAGGCCGCGCGTGAGGCCACCAGTAAGGCGCAGAGTCGCCCCAAGGGTGGCGGCAGTGGTGTCACCAACTCCTCGGACCTCCGTCGAAAACACCGTTACATCCAGCTTGTGCCTTGTGCCGCACGTTTCTAGGAGATCAACCCCGCCCAGGGAAATTGTGTTTAAACCTTCACCATGCACTTCGGCCAATTCTTGGAACTAGCTCGCGGCTGAGGCACCAGACCCGCTGTCTCGTCCACGGTTCCTGTGATGGCATCTAAGGTAGCTGCCATAGCACGCCTGGCCTGCGGCAAGCTTTGAACTTCTCCACTTCGGTTTTGAATGCAGGTGAAGCACACCTGATATATCAAATCCCGTAGACACATATCATATCCTATCATATCATATCATGTCATGCCATAGCATTTGTCCAACCCTCTCCGTCGCCCGCACTCATGCCATAGCATATAAGCATAAATTGGCGCCGCTTTATCCCTCGCCCGCACTATCATACATGATATGTATAACTGTATAACTATGAAATTACATACGTAAATGAATATATATATATATATGTATATATACATACATGCAGAAATAAATATGTATGTATTCGTATTACAATTCAATACCATACACTACGTACATACATACATACATACATACAGACATGTTTCGGCACTCGCGCTCGACGACTGCAGGCGAGGTGTATGTCCGAGCAAAACAAACAAATGCTCCTTTCGAGCATGCATACATACATACATACGTACGTACGTACGTACGTACATAGGTACGTACATACATGCATGCATGCATGCAAGCATGCATGCATACACAATTATGTATGTATGCATGTCTGCAGGTATGCATGCATGCATGTATGTACATGTATATGTAGATACACAGTTATACATTCACTGACTTATTTCGCCTTTCACTCCTGCTCTCGGCAGGCAAGGCTCCACACATGTCCGTCACGCGAGAGCATATTAGCCCGTTAGGATCCACTGTGTTGGCAATGTTAGACTATGTCTACATACCGCATTGATGGAATGAAACGGTTAGTGGATTGGCGGGTTGATTGATTGACTGACAGATTGATTGACGGACTGTGTGTTTCTTTATGTGCTTGCTTACTCCTTTGTTCAGTTGATGGCTTCCTTCGTACGCATTCATTCATGTTTTCAATGTGCATCACCCCATGCTTTTCTTTAGTTATACACCCACCTAATTATACCTATACACCTACCTGTACCTACCTCGACACATTGTTTGGCACTCGCGCTTGACCAGGTCAGGCGACCTACACAGATACGACCACATACATGCATACATGCATACACATGTAGATGTACCTGTACCATGCACATGGAATTCGGAATGTGACCTCAGTCTGCAAAGTGTAGGGCAGTGTAGGGTAGCAAACGCAGCTTTGCACCCTGCCTTCCGACCGTTGGCGGTGTAGTTGCTTCTAGTAGGTTCCGACCAGTTCCCCAGCGTGACCTCCGTGCCCAGAGCCTCGAACTGCTCAGCGCGCCTCATGGCGAGATTTCTCGCCGGGGAATCAGGGGAAGGCAAGTCGACATCAGTCTGTTTGGTGAACCTGAAGCGACCGTAGCCTGCTAACCCCCGCCAGGGCCGTCACGGAACCCTGCCAGCGACAGTATCCCAAAGTCCGGAATCGGGGTGGCCGTGGTCCGACGGCATCGGCGGCGGCGGCAGCTACGACTGTCTCAATCATCCGAGGTGCGTCGGGGGAGTGCTTTGTGCCGCAGACCTCAAGATGAGCCAACTCTGCAGCAGGCATCTGACGAAGTACCGGCGAGGCCAAGACATGGCACAAGGCCTACTTGCCGGCTCAATGCATGGGACTTCTAATTTCCCGATATTACCTATACGAGTAGGGCCTAGACTCGACAAGAACCGGGGTGCGGGAGGAGCCTTTTTCTTCGTTGTACCATACCAGGGACGCGACGGGCAGCTGCTTGATTCTTGTTTGACTGATTCTGGTAGAGTCTGTAGTTCGCTCTCCTATTTTCTTGTTTTGGTCTGCATGCTGTCAGGGCTGCATCGATGATTGCCGTGAACCCATAGCCGGAAGACATTTTCGTGATATTCTCGAGCCATCAATGCGTTGGCAGTGGTCCAGTACCGTGTGTTCGGCTCTCACATTTTAGACAGCATGGACAAAAGCGCAAATCCGCAATAGTTTGAGATAGGGCACCTTCATGCCGATTCATTCAGAAGCGAGCACAAGTTCCTCCATGCCCTGCCTTCACCGAGCGC